CAAAGAATGTTGTTCTTGACAAAATAAAGACGATAGTTTGAACAAGGACTGAAAGGAATAGGTGGATGATTTAATTTCTGTAACATCATCATAAGACTGGTATAAAGCTCTTCAGTACTAGAAAACTATTTATTCCTAATTCACTAACAGTTGCCAGCCAAGTCCATCCACACCAGCAGCAGAGCCTATATCTTCCTTATGCAAATACATCTTTGAAAGCCATCTGGCAAAATACCTTTCCAAATCCACAGTGGTAGTAGGACTGCAGCCATAATGATCCAAAGAAGTATGTAAGGCTCAGAGGAAAGAAGCATTACCTAACAGATGAACTGCTATGGTAGGGGTGGGTGTGATGGAAGAAGACAGACAGGCGCACTTGCTCCCAAAAGATTATCTGGTCTAACAGAATGACACTGGCACCCCTTACAAAATTTTCCCCAAGGCTAGCGCTCTATTATGGGCATTTATTGACATTTGTATATCTTGATTAAATCTTGAGAGCCATGAATTATATTTCCCAAATTTGCATGCAGTGTTCTGAACCTTAAGGGCAAATCCCTCTTGTACAAGGGATTTTATAATAAGCAAACACAGGATCTCCTTAGACTGCATAAGGCTGCCAGGTTTGCTTTATTTCTTCTCTGGTTAGTTTACTGTAGAAATAAAATGCTGGTTTTGGCATTGCTGCCAATGTATTAAAATGACCATCCTGAACCCCAGAGGCAAGCAGGTTTCTTGGCAGGTAGAGAAAAGGTTCTTAGATCCATGGCTTGTCTTCCATTTCCATTAGCCATCTTGCCCATCAGTACAAAAGTCAAAAACACAAAACATTTCTGAGCTCAAGAAATCTGTTAACATTAGATACTTGCAGATAAGTAACCATTAATCTTTTATTTGATGAAAGCCAGAAAAAAATGCTCTAAGACACTACTTATGGAATTTGATCATGTAGAGCTTGGTATTGTTCACAGGTTATATCAAGCAACCTGCCCTTTAAACCGTAGACACTAATATGGCTTTCCATTAACCTATTTTTGTTTATTATTCTACATTTAAGTGCTCCCCAAACAAACTTCACTGCTGTTGAACTATACAGTGATTTCTCCAGGGCCTCTTTTTGGCCCTGCAAGCTGTCAGACAGCTCTGGTCAAAGACTAAGAAAAGACTGCGTTATATTCAGGAAGCTGAAACTCCTTTGAAAGAGAACAAAACCAGAGTAACATGATATAGGTACAAGATGATAGTGATGGCAAAACTTCTTAGGGCTCAGGTAGAAACAAATGCTCTGTGACCATCACTTTTTCATTTTTGTCTCTTTTGTCAAATTTCTGTGGAAGATACATCTGCAGTCAGTTCCATCTTAACCATACATATTGACCCATATTCTTCCAGACCATAATCCATCAGGTACAACAAGTATCTAGGACCCTGTTTTGAAAAGCATGTCATGCTCCTCAGAAGAAAGTACAGTTAAATGTCTTCCCACCCAAAATGAAAACTGTAGGGGAAAACTGCCTTTAAAGCAAAAATGCCAAGAACGGCACACAGCAAATATCCTATGCCTAAGGAAAAGTTGCACAATAAGTTGTGAATTGACAACATAAGCAGCTATTCTACAGTCCCTTCCATCCATACAGGCATTCACCATTGGCAGTGAAGCTTCAAAGCAGAATAAACTACTCAACACTATAATAATTCCAAGCAAACACTAACAGTTTTCAGACAGGAAAAACAACATGGAGTTGCAAATTCAGTCCCTGGTTGAGGTCTCAGGAACATTTTTTCATTAATGTCTCAGCTCCTTGTATCCACAAACAAAAAAGAACCATGTTAAAGAATAATTTTTTTAAAAAACAACACTTGCAGAACATTCTTCTGGTTATTTCTTGAAACATACTCTGCTTTACCAACACAGATTTCATCTCAGAGAAGACTGCTGCAAGCTCCAGATAAAGTACTCTTTTTTCTCTGGAACATTTAAATATCAAAAAATACTAGGGCATGTGGGAAGGGATCCACTGGTTTCCTTTGAGGAATAGCAAACCTTCTCATTAGAATTTGAAATATCCATTCTGAATATCCTATCATCTTTCTAACAACCAAAACTTACTGGGAAGTAAGAAGAAGAAAATAAGAACAACTTTCAGATCCGAGAACACTTCCAAACCAACAAAATTTCTCATCTCTGCCCCTTACTTTTCAGATAGGAAAACAACAGTCATCATGCCCTCTAATAAGAGGATGCCACAGAGAAAAGCATCTCTAAGAAGCCATCTACTGCTGTGCAACTTTCCATTAACCACAGTGGTTTATCAAGTTCTCAAGCATGTTATGACAAAGTCTCCAAAACTGGAGCCATACAGAGCTCCAGCAAGGCAAGGAGCTCTGGCATGGTTTCATAAAAATACAATACCATTACTTCCAAGAGGAGTTCAGATCTGGGAGCAAAGAGTGCTTGTGCAATGCTGAACTTGGGCTAATCAAAACACTAGCGTGCTTTTACCATGCTCACAAAATTACACACTGAGAAATCACCTGATCCAGCTACAGATAACTCAGATTCAACGTAAGGCTCAAGTGCAACCCTTAAAGGTCATGCAAAACTCCACATTGTGGAATACTTGTTAAGAAAGGCACCACATGAGTGCCCAGAAAAAGGTCGCATCTCCTCAAACCATTCCAGAGCTTCCTCTGACACCCATATTGTCCAAGTGTTTCTATTATTTAAGCTAGCACATACGCATCCACCTCTCTGTCAAATATTTATACTCACCACGAACTCCTTGCTTGCTAATCTGCTCTCTCTGAAAATATCCTGCTTCCAGAGATGCTCCTCACACTCTTCGTTCAATGCAATCTTTAAACCTGATCACGATTAAGGAAGCATTACATGGATGCTGCACAGGGGAGCTATGGAATCTTCCTAGTTCCCACAGTGAAAAAGGCAGAGATCCATGAGGGTTGACTCACACCTTGTTAAAGGAGGGAGGAGAAAGAGCCCAGGAGTAGCCGATGGCCAAGAGGCCCCTGCCAGCTACTCAGTGGTTGAATCCAGGTTACCATTCCTCTCATCTTTGGCCACAGCTAGGGGGTTGGAAAGACTAATGAGAAAACAACAGGGAATGGCCAACATACAAGCCATAAATACACACACAGGAGGCTCCATAAGCCCAAGCATTTGTGCCCCTTCCTGCAAGCCTCTGAACTCCTCTGGTAGCTTGGGAGTAATTCCTGTTCCAACACGCTGAGCTGGAAGCTACTGCTGCCAGTTACCTGCACGTAAGAAAGGTGTTTCCGGCAGTCTTGCTGAGAAGACCCTGAGGCCAGGTTAACAATTTGACTATGCCCAAAAATATTCAGGCTCTGAGAGCAAGACAAAAATTATCTTTTCTTTAATCATTTTTCTTCATTTTCTTGTCACCCCAAGGAAAAGAGCTGAGAAAAGCTTTCTGGAACTACAAAAGAGAGACCAAACTGCAACACTGTAACTATCCCCAGTTTGTCACAATTGCAATAACTTCCAAGCTTTGTGAGAGACACGATGCAGGAAATTAGTAAAGGGGAAGGGAAGATATTGGTGCTATTTTCCCCCCTTTAATATTTGCAATACTCAATTTATTTCTGCATTGAGATTTGAAGAGTCTTCCTCCCCAGCTCTCTCAAATTCATGCATATCTGCTACTTGAAATGTGGATCAGCTCTCACACATGAACATTCAAAGCGTGAAAAACTCAGGGCGGCCCTGGAAAAGACAAATGGAGGGACAGATGCTCCAAAGCAAAAGAAAAAAGAAAAAAAAAAAAAGAAAAACTCCTTGACATCAGGGACAGTTCACCCCAGGACCTGGTTTGTGAGTATTTTAGAACTTAATTCGGTTTTTCTCTCATCAAATTCTATGAGATTCTCTATGTATTTGGAGGGGAGAAGAGAAGGCAGGTAAAAATGTAAGGACATATTCTATAAGAACAGTGCTAAAAGCTGTCTTAATTTCCATCCTTACCCATGAACAAACCTAAGATTAAATGCAAGTCCTGCTGACTAATGATACTTAGAGGCCTCAGGAAAGCAATCAAAGTCTTTTTTAATGATATTTGGTTACTGCCTGGCAAAAATCACAGGCAGGACCAGAGATACCATAAGAACCTGAGAATAAATTAAGGCAACATTTCACTAATTTAAGTTCAGAAGCACCAGAAACTATTTTTTCCACCCCAAAAAATGTCTCTGATAACTGAAAATACAATACCTCTCACTTCCCAACGCAGAGACGCTGAAACCTGTTTTTAATCGCATCAGTTCCTTCCCACACACAAACATCAAGTAAACTCGACAACACTGTGTACTTGCTACAGCTAAATATACTGGCAATATACAAGTACCTAATTTGAAACCCTGCGAACACACGTTCGGAAAAGATGGCAGTTTGCTAGGCTTTTATGTAACGCAAATTTAAATAGAAGGAACAGCACCTGCCATTTTCTTCAATTAGCATTTCGTTCGGCTGTTACCAACTTAATTTCTTGTAAGCCAACCGCGGCGCTTCCGAAGCAATCTCATGAATTTATCGGACACAACTGATAGGCACCAAGAATTCTCTCGGACAGAACAGCAATGGTTTCAGCCGCCCCGGGGCCGAGCCCCCCCGGCTCTCTGCAGTGACAGAGGGTCGGGGCGCGCCCTGCCCGCCCAGCGCTCTCCGAGGAGCAGCGCGGCCCTTCCACGCGGTACCAGCGTACTCCGTTCTCTCGTTTCCCCCAAGCCGAGCCATCCCGCGGCGATGGAGCGAGGCTCGGCCGGGGCGCAGCCGCCACCGCAGCGCAGCGGACAGCGACGAGGCCGCCGAGGCAGCCCCGGGCGGGCAGCAGCGGCTTCCCCGCCGCCCCCCGCACCCGCAGCCAGGGGAGGGGCGGCCGCCACCATCTTGTCAGCCCGGGCACAAAGGCAGGGCGAGAAACCCCCTGCCCCCGGGACCGAGCCGGGCGCCCCCCGCCCCGACTCACCTCCAGGCGCAGGGAGGCACCGCAGCCCCGCAGGAACTCGCGGATGTTGCTCAGGCACTCGCCTTCGGTCCGCGGCTCCGGGTACACCTGCAAGAGAAGAGGCGGGCGGCTCAGCGCGGGGATAGGAGGGGACGGCACCGCACCAGCGTCCCCCGCCCCGCCGCTCCCCTCACCTCCCGCTCCCTTCGTAGGCGGCAGCGCCGATCGCTCCCACTGGAGGGGTTGAACCGGGAAGTAAACACGGAGCACAGGAAATGGCGTGCGAGGGCGGGGGGCGGCGGGCAGGAGCGCGGGCAGGGGTGCCCCGGCCAGGCGCGGTCGCGGGCGGCTCTGCCCCGGCGCGGGGAGGGCGGAGGGAGGGAGGCCCTGCCCGGCCCCGCCCCGGCTGCGGGCGGGGACCCGCCGTGGGAGCGCCCCCGGGCCTCGTCGCCCAGCGTTTCTTAATTTGTTAAATGGTGATACAGAGCCCGGTGCCGTGACGGGTTTGGCTGCAGGGCAAGGCGGCGGTACGGGGGGTAGCCCGGGGACAGCCCTTCCTCGGGACGAGAAGTGGTCGCGCACAGGGGGCAAGGCGCTCGCTGCGGGTGGCCCGTGTCGTCCGTGAGGCTGCCGGTGCCCTCCTTGTTCTGATGCCGGTCCACCATTAGGTATCGGTTTTCTAACTAGGAAATACATGAAAAATGCCCCAAAGACCTCTGTGGAAAAATATTAGCACCTGGAGTTAATAATTACCAGGGTCTGATGTTAAAGAGCTTCGTTTATCTGTAGTTTATTAAACAGCCCCTTCCTACCCCAGAAGAAAAGCAATTTCACGAAGAGGAAAACCTTGACTAAATCTAAGTGAGTTTTTGGCAACGCAGCCATGTGCTCTCTGCAGCCACGTTCACGGTGCCTTCAGCTCAACCTCTACCCTGACAGCCAAGAGTAACAAGGAAAAGCAGCCAGCCCCAAGCGCTTCAGGGGCATGGCTTCACTTCCCACAGCTTCACTCAAATTCTACGTGCACATAAGCATCGTTCCACAATAAATTCATTCATTTCTATGAAGTAGTTCAGCAAATAAATCATTGCCAAAACTGACCTGCAGTGAAGCTGCAGCCCTGGACACCTCGTTCTGTTGGAAAGGGAAAGCCTTTCCAAGTGCCCTGGAAAGTCACTGGAAGCCAAAGTGTTGCAACACACAGCGTCATGGCCTTTGATTACATACTATAGTCAGAGAAAGTTTTCTTAAATGCACATGTATGTCAAGGCTACATACTCTCACAGTATAATCCACCTGCACAGCACTGGTAACTTCACACAAGGTCGACTCTGAACATGTATCAAGCTGAATCCAACGTAGTGCCTTCCCATATGTTTATATGATATCAAAGATACCTCTGACCCCATAATATCACAAAAATTAACAAATGCAACAGCATGACAGGGTCAACCTGATATAAAGAAATGTAAAACACAAGTCACTATCATTTTCTAAATGCAAAATTCAGGTGAGTTTTAAATCAAAGCCGCTATTTTGTAATACAAGGAATTTGGTAACAATACAAGTAGAAGAATTTTTCTTTCCTTAAGCAAGAGCACATATACACATGCCCTCCAAACTCCCCAAATTATCTGGTACTATAATAAACCACCATGGGTTAAGAATAAGCCTTTTACCACACTATAATGCAAAAGGAATGCCAAAGAAGTCCTATGCAAGTACAACAGCCTGAAAGACAAATTCAGGAAGTTTGAAGGATACAAGAAGTGAGAGAACCCTCCTGAAAACATGAGTTTCGTCAGTCTCGCTTGATATACTTTCTGACTACTCTATTAATTTACTTCTTAATTCTACTAAGAAATCTCAAGCTCAGTCTATCATACCAACATCCCTTGTTAAAAAAGAATCCTGAGACTTCTTTCAGTTTTTCTATATTGATGCTTCTAGTATATTCTTTCCTACACACTCTTAATATTTACATAAGAATTATATAGTTGCAATTTATAACTATTTTTTCTTAAACTATTTGCATAATAACTGGGGTTTATCTCCCTTTATAGCTGTTACTTCCTCATCTCTTTTTTTGTACCCCCAATTTTCTTTTTCTTCTAATTTGTTCATCAAGGCCTCTTTTAATTCTGAGAAACCCTAACATTACTTCTGCTCTCCAAACACGAATAACCCCTGGTAAGAAAACCTACAGTAAACCTACATTTCTCTTAAAAGAAACAAATGTCTTGTCTCATAACACAATCCACATTAACACAAAATGTCACAAACACATTAAGCTCCATAATTCTAAGAAACCCAGATATATGTACTACCAACTCATACGAGGCTGCACATAGTTCATAAGAGACTGCATAATACCTGGAAAGAGGCCAAAAATAAAAAGGGGGGGATGTAAGGGGAGACATGATTAGAGTAAGGAAAAAATTTCCAATTAAAGATTAAAGAAACAACAAAGAAAACCCAAACCCTGCAAATTGCTCTATGTCAGGTCTGGAAGTTTAAAATACATGCCAAATATACATCTGAGACCTTAACCCTACCAGCTCTCTAATGCATGTTTCCAGTTAAAAATCATCTTCCCTCAAAACAATAAAATAAGTTACAGTAAATCTTTAGAAATGCCATTTCTTCCTTCACAAAACAAGGGAAAAGACTTTGGGGTGATAAAAGAAGCAGGCTATGTCTTAGCTCTGTGGCTGCAGTGGCATTTTTATCCAACAGAAGACAGAAGCATATGGGTAAAGAATTTAAAAATATCTTAGCATTTGCATCCTGCTAGAAATTTGAAGTCTTAATGATCCCATAAAAAGAAGCAAACCCTTTATTTACCTGGGAAATCTTAATGTGAGTCTGGCAACCTTTTCCTACAGACAGCTGAGAAACACAGTAAGGGACTTGAAGAACAAACTCAATCCCGCCCCAGAATGTTCAAGTGCAGTTATGTGGGCTAAGCCCATGTTAAAATTACACTTATGGAATACGACATCCTTTACATACAGTTACAGGAAGCTCAGGAGCATGACCTCTCTCTCACAGATCACATTTATAGCCTCACAGGCTATTCAAAATGTAACAGAACATCATGCAAGCAGGCCACAGGCAGGTAAGTCCTAGCCTGCGTGAAAGGCACCAAATATATTCAGAGAAGAAAGGATAAACAAAATAAAAGTAGGGTCATACTCTAAAATGACTTAGCTTAATAAAAAGTAGACTGCATGTACATAAAGCAAATGAAATAAAGAGGTAACATATTTTCCTCTCCAGTATTTGCTTCATCCTCTTGCTTTCACAGACCAACAATGTTAGTTCATTAATGGGGGTTGTCTTCTTGTTATATGTGTATACAGCTCCTAGTACAAAGAGACGTTAGCGTCCAACTGAAACCTATATGTGCTCTAGTAATACAAATAAAAAAGGTTAATAGTAATTAGAAAAGACAAAGATTCCAGAGGGGCATGACAGATTCTTAATTAGGGACCAGGGTACCACGGTGGAATCCAAGGAGACAAGTGGAAGGTAATACACAGAGAAGCCACAGTTTAAACCACTTATTTGTTGTTCAGGGACAGGTTCTGATTAAGATTTAATCTCTCAGGGAGCAGTTCTGGAAATCACAGCTAGTTCAATGAGGACACATGTGATGCACTGCAGATATCAAGGAGCAGAGTACATTTTCCATCATCCAGAAAAGGTGGAGAACAATATGCAATGCAAATTGATGGTACCTAGCTAAATGTTACATCCTTTTTGATCAGTTTAAATCTGTGGTTTTAATCAACAACAACACAATAATAAAAAAGAGCAATGCAGAGACAGGCTGCATCATGAAAAAGTATGACAGGGATGGTCTTAAAAAAATGAAAAAGGCTACCATTAGTTCATTTGGACAGGGAAATTATATTAGGAAAATATGCAAGGAATGTGTAGAATAATGAGTTTAAAAGAAAAAAAAACACAGTTCTTTGACTGCAATGAGTAAACATGAGAAATTAATAAAAAAATAGGAGATATCTTCAGTTATATGTATGGGAAATTAGCTGTTTATTTGCATTTATCTGCAGAACAAGTTCACGAAATGGGTCAAAGGCAGAGAGGTGTATGAGGTCTTAAATATAAACTGGAATCTACCAAGAGGACAATAGGAAGAGACTAAACGACAGCAGGGTTATTACATATAAATTAAATCAATCATTTATGTAGCACAACATATAATATGTACAACATGGTTTACTATGTGAGTTAGAAGACTGTCTCAGTTACTAGAAAGCAGAAACTAATACAGAACACAACAGCTAGCTACAAACTAGTAGGCATGTCCAGCAGACACTTAAAAATGTCCTGTTCAGGAGTATGGCTGCTCAAGTCTGAAGTTCAAAAACTCAGTCCTCAAGTATGGAGACCAGGGGGAAATCCTGCATTGTAAAGAGCATTGCAGAAGAATGCAATCCCAAAGGGAAGAGTTGTAGGGACTGTGTGATGAGGATATTGTTCTTTGCCACCACATGCTGGACCATTCTTCCCTCATCCTATTCGTCCTGCCTGGAGCCTTTTACACCAGATTCCCCTCTCAGCATGAAACAGTTTTCTCTCCAGGTTTCAGAACACCTTGCACACACAAAGCATTGCCACAATCTAACCACTAAAAATACTGTAAATGAACAATGCAGCAAAGCTAACAAAAGGGTCCTATTGATCACATTTAGTCCCACAGCAGCTGTGCTTTGCTTCCAGCCTCTTTGACTGGTCAAGGGCAACAGATCTTCCAACGAAGCACAGTGATAAAGAGCCAAACACCTCCTGCATAAGTGCTGCAGGCTGGCGTTTGTTGCCAGGATTCACATTCAGGGATAAAAATGAGATTAAAAACATTATGAGGAGGAAGCCAGGCCATTTTCATACTAGCCTGGGTGGTGAAGCTGCAACTGTCCAACAGCTCCTGCAGGTTCTTTCCCTCCCCACCACTCCCAGCTGTGTTACCTTCTGCTTGCACCTGCACCCATGCCCAGCACGGCTCATCCCTTGCAGCGTTTAGGTATCCTGCTCTGTCCCAGAACACTTGCTCTCACAAATCACATCCAGTAGGGATGGAAAAG